CTGGAGGTTCCGGCTCCTTCTGCAGCAGCCGGTGTTGGGCAGGATCAGATATAGGAGCCTGGTTTAATCAAGGCTGCCCCTATCTCAGACCCGTGTTTCTCCTTGCCAGGGTATGTTCCTGTATCTGTTTCTTTCCCTACGCTTGTCTGCTGCGATGTTCATCTCCTCTTCCTCCTTCTCCTCTTCCTCCTTCTCCTCTTCCTCCTTCTCCTCTTCCTCCTCCTCCCTCTCCTGGCCAAAGTGGTGGACCCCCAGGGTCAGGCCAGGGTGTGGGTCGAGGGCAGCCCCATCTGCCAGGGAATGGCTTTGGCTTGTCTGCATCCCCGCACGAAAGCGCATCTTCTGCCTCAATTTTAGGGGCGTTTTTGGATGGTGAAGCCAGGGAGAGAAAGCACCAGCCCCAGCCTGGCAACGCCCGGCATCGCTTCCTCATTCCCAGCCAGGAATCTTCTGACACTGGGGCAGTTGTCCCAGGGGTGGTCAGCATGGGCCATCCTTCCTGAAGCTGCTGCCACAGCTAACCACAAGCTCTTTTTCATCCTCACGTGGAGCATGTGAGGGAGTGAGGTGACCCAGACCGGTCCATTGTCCCCAGGCTGGTAAGACCCAGCCACTGGTCCTCAGGGCCACCATCCCCTTTCCCTGGGGCACCTGCGCCGGGTGACTGACCTGCACATCCTCTGCCAGAACACATTAATGGACACCTCGTTAGCTGATTACCAGATGGCTAATCCCACTGGCTCCTGGACCCCCCTGTCCTCCTCCAGCAGCAGTGGCAGTGAGGATGCTGAGCATCCCTGCACCAACGCCGCATCCCTGGGTTGGCAGCAGCACATCTTCCCCGCTGCAAATGCTCAGGTGGGAATAGGAGCAGGGCACTAACGAGCACATAAATGAGGGCACAAATGAGGAGACCAAGTGGGGACAGGACACTCGTCCCTATTGACAGCCCAGAGCCAACATGGAGCGTTGGTGATGGGCACACAGGCAAGGAGGTGGCGGTTTGTTTTCAGATCATTGGGAAAGGCTACATTTGTCAAATAGATGATTTCATCGTAACTATTTATTCAGCTCTATTCCCTGCCCACCAGCATCTTCATTTGCTCTCAGCACAGGCATCAGCCTTTATTTTGCCAAGTGTTAGTGCTCAGCAAATATCTTCTGCCTCCATGTCTGTGACTGGGGAAAATGAGCTGCTGGTTGAAGAAAAAATTGGTTTAAAGTGTGTTTTTCCAGTCTGCCCACCCCTATGCTCCTGGCGGGGCAGACTGAAGGGCATGGGTTGTTTTGCCACATAACTCATCTCTTTTTGGAGCCGCTTTGCTCAGTTTTGAGGGAAGGAAGAGGATGAAGAGGAGAAGCCTCGGTGCAGAGCCACAGCATCCTTTGTGCCCATGGTGTTTTTTGGGCTTTACCTACCTTTCCTTGCAGCGTTTGCAGGGGCATGTTGTACCCAGAGCATGTGTTTCTCAAGCAAATGAGTAGGATGCGTTGCTGTGCATCCCTATTTAGGGAAAAATCAAAAGATGGGGGTGGGAATGGGTGGGCTCAGCCCCGGCTGGTTCTTACCCCCCTCCTCCCTCTCCTCCACCCTTCTCCCAGCAAGATACATCGGCTGCTACGTGGACAACACTCGCCGGCGGACGCTGCGCGGCGTGTCCTTCTTTGACTACAAGAAGATGACAGTCTTCCGTTGCCAGGACAACTGTGCCGAACGGTAGGGTGGGAGACGGGCACCGCGTCTCCATCAATCCCCACACACCGCCAGCGTGTCTCTGCTCTCACAGTTCCCTGCCCTGGCTGCTCCCCTCCCCTTCCTCCCGCCTGCCTTCTTTTTTTTTTTCCTTTAGAATTATGTAATTTAGATTTTTTTTAATTTTTTTTTTAATTCACGGGTGTTTTCCAGGATCCCAGTTTCCTCCCCTCCCCGAAAAAGAGTCAGGGAGGATGATGGGCTCTATCCTCGTATAGGGCAGGGGGGTGTAAGGGCTCCAATTCAATGCTGGGGGAGCCTTGAGCACTTCCATCCACCCAGGGCTGGCCCCACCAAAATGCTGTCCCTCCACCCAAACACCCTCCCCAGACCTTCCCAGCTGTCCAAGTGTATCCATGAGCAGCTGAGGAGACACGTGGATCTCTTGCTGCAGAAGTTTTCTCCTTTCCCCAGCGTTACAGGAAGGATGTGCCCCAAACGTGGTTGGGCGGGCAGCATTGCGGGCAGTTTGCTGCCCCCAAACTCCCCCGGAGCTGAAGCACCTGGGGATGATGCTGCAAAGTACCATCTCCCCACCGTAGGGCTCATCCTCCCCAGCAGAATGCTCAGCGTAGTGGAGAAGTGCCACGAGCTGAGCTGACTGCTGGGGTGCATCCTCAGTGGTGCTGACGTGGGGCTGACCCACACCAGAGCCCCCCTGCCGTGCCAGCAGCCCCACAGAGGGACTTACTGCTCTGGCACTGCCCTTCTCCGGCAGGTTTCCAGCTGCATTGGCACTTGGCAAGTGCCTACCTGTGCTGCAACCCTTCCCCTTTCAAATCCAACCTGTACTGAGCAGCACAGCTCTCGTGCTTTGAAGCTGAGCAAAGTCCCCATCACTTATTCCTGCTCCACCAACACCCATTGTATCCTCCTTGCCCCTAAGAAATGTTGCTTTAAATCACTTATTCCTGCTCCACCAACACCCATTATGTCCTCCCTGCCTCTAAGAAATGTTGCTTTAAGATAGAGTAGAGTAGAATAGAATAGAATTTGGGAGCTGGGGTTATTCAGCCTGGAGAAGAGGAGGCTGAGGGGAGACCTTATTGCTCTCTACAACTCCCTGAAAGGAGGGTGTAGAGAGATGGGGGTCGGTCTCTTCTCTCAAGTCCCAGGCGACAGGACAAGAGGAAATGGCCTCAAGTTACACCAGGGGAGGTTCAGGCTGGATATTAGGAAAAATTTTTTCACCGAAAGGGTTCTCAGCCATTGGAATGGGCTGCCCAGGGAGGGGGTTGAGGCACCATCCCTGGAGGTGTTCAAAAGAGGGGTTGATGTAGTGCTGGGAGGTATGGTTTAGTGATGGTGTTGCTTTTTGTTTGTTGTGTGGGCGTACGTTTTTGTCAAAATTAGGTTGACGGTTGGACAAGATGATCTTTAAGGTCCTTTCCAACCTAGAAGATTCTGTGATTCTGTGATTCTGTAATAGAATAGAATTGAATCTTTTCAGTTGGAAGGGACCTATGATGATCATCTAGTCCAATGATGCATCCTTGGGATGCAGTGCTGCTCCCCAAGGTGTGAGCTGGCAGCAGTGGGTATTCTCCAGCAAATCCCCATGGAGCCGGGGTGGGGGGGATGCCTGGGGATGTGCTGAACCCCCCCTCCCCATCTCTCTCCCTCTCCCCAGGGGCTACCTCTACGCAGGGCTGGAGTTCGGCGCTGAGTGCTACTGTGGACACAAGATCCAGGCGTCGAATGCCAGCGAGTCTGAGTGCAACATGGCGTGCAAGGGGGAGAGGAGCAACATCTGTGGTGGGGTCAACCGTCTCTCCATCTACCGCCTGGAGCTGGCCCAGGAATCTGCCCGGAGATGTAAGTCGGCAGCATCAATTTGGGTCCTGGCTCAGCCCCTGAGATGGGGGAACCCCTCGTGGTGCCTGGGGCGGGGGGTGAGCCCTGGTGTCCCTGTTGCTCCTCAATGTCTTCCTTGGAGTGAGGGGGCCAAAGCTGAAAACAGTATTTGGGCATTTTGGGGGACTTTGGATGACGTCTTGGTGGCCAAAGAGGATCATCATTGTGTTCAACATGTGCTGCCAGCAGAGCTGGCTGTGGGATGAAGGATGTGCAGGAGCTCCTGCCGGGGGTGGGGGGTGAGCCCTGGTGTCCCTGTTGCTCCTCAATGTCTTCCTTGGAGTGAGGGGGCCAAAGCTGAAAACAGTATTTGGGCATTTTGGGGGACTTTGGATGACGTCTTGGTGGCCAAAGAGGATCATCATTGTGTTCAACATGTGCTGCCAGCAGAGCTGGCTGTGGGATGAAGGATGTGCAGGAGCTCCAGGAATAGCCAAGGAGCTTCTGCTCCCTGTTGGAAGCGCTCATTTGGCTCCCCATTAGGCAGCACTATAATTATCCATATTTTCTGGTTTTCTTTCCTTGTCCCCACGCAATGGGAGAGAGTTCCCACCACCAGGCACCCAGTGGAGCATCAGCCCTGGAGAAGGGCTGAGGGTGCCTGGGTACGTGCAGCAGTGGGTGAGGACCCGGGATGGGACCTCCTGGGGAACTGATGCCAGGGAAAGGGACCAGGCCACCTCCAACCCTGGCTCTCCTCACCAGCTCCATCCCTCCTGCACTCTGGGATCACTGAGCTGATAAAAATAGGGAGGAAAAAAATAAACCTGGCTTTGCTGCCGGGGCTTTTGCTCTCATTTTGCACCATAAGCAGCCAGGCGAGCTCGTTAGTGAACGTGGCTTCACAGCCGGAGGGTGATGAGAGCTGGAGAAGAGCGGCTGCTGCGCCGGTGGGCGGCTGGAGGGGAGCTCCGGGGGATGATGACACTGTCAGTGGCATCATTTTTGGGGTGCATGGAGCCCCTGCTCCTCGTGGCCGGGCTGGCATCACTCTCACCACCGCTGCGGGCTCCCTCCCTCGTAGATGGCAGTGCAATATTTCGGGGGTGCTTCCGCCGGCCGGACAACGTCTCCATCGCCCTGCCCATCAGCCAGATCATGCTGAACATGTCGGTGGACAAGTGCGTGGACTTCTGCACCGAGAAGGTACTGGGCTGGGGGGGGCAAAGGGGTGGAGGTCGAAAGCTTAACCATCCAAATCATCATCAGAAAGGGTCACACTGGGTAGATTTTAACCTGATTTAGTGTCGCAATTACGTGTATGCAGGCTGCAAAGGATCAAGTTGCTCTCTACAACTACCTGAAAGGAGGGTGTAGAGAGGTGGGGGTCGGTCTCTTCTCTCAAGTCACAGGTGACAGGACGAGAGGAAATGGCCTCAAGTTACTCCAGGGGAGGTTCAGGCTGGATATTAGGAAAAATTTTTTCACCAAAAGGGTTCTCAGCCATTGGAATGGGCTGCCCAGGGAGGTGGTTGAGGCACCATCCCTGGAGGTGTTCAAAAGACGGGTTGATGTAGTGCTGGGAGATATGGTTTAGTGATGATGCTCCTTGTTTGTTGTGTGGGTGTCTATTTTTGTCAAAGTTAGGTTGATGGTTGGACAAGATGATCTTTAAGGTCCCTTCCAACCAAGAAGATGCCGTGAAGTTGGTTGTGTCTCTGCCATGGGGAGGGACTGGCAGCTCTTCTGCTGCCTGCCCTGCCTGCTCCCCACTGCTCTTCACCCCCCCTGAGCAGGCAGCAGCTTTGGGGGGTGGAATTTGGGCAGGAGCATCCCATGGTCCCAGCCTGGTTCAGGAATGCTGCAGTGCAGTTTGCTCCTAGGGCATGATGTGCCTATAAGCAGGCAAGGGAAAAGTTGACAGTGGGCATTGCTAGAGTATTTATTAATCAAAATTAGGTAAATTATCAGGTAGAGAAAGACCTACAGGTGGGGATGGTCATGTCCTCCCTGACAGAGGGTGGTGGGAAATAAACCATCCCACCAGTTAAATACCAGCAGCTGCTCCATCACTGGCTCCACTTTCCTGTGCTGCCAGGAGGGCACAGGGCCAAGAGGTGTAAATAACCAGAGCCCCTCAATTAACCTGACACTGTCCCAGCCCGCTGGTAAATCACCTTTCAGATGCCGAATGGGCCTTGTAAGTCTGGGCTTGGAAACGCTGGTGAGGCTGCCATGGGGCAACCTCAGAGATGGTGCAGGTGGCAACCTCAGGGACGACGTGCCACGGCTCTGCCAGGAGATGGTATTGCTGGCAGGCATCTCGGCCAGGCCATGGGAAAGTTGGAGCTTGGGTGCTTTTGGGTGGCTGCAATGAGCTGCTTGGACAACCAGCTGGAAGGATGCTGCAGCCAGCTCAGAGGATGCTGCAAAATTCTCTGAGCTGCAAAGTGGGGCCAGGGCAGTGAGGACGGGTGGTGGGGGGCAGAGGAGGTGTCTGCTGTGGGGTCCGGGGCTGGTGCCACCAGCTGCCCTCCCTCCACTCATCCCCACAGGAGTACCCGCTGTCAGCCCTGGCCGGGACGTTGTGCCGCTGTGGCTTCCCCACCACCCTCTTCACCCTGCACGAGCGTGAGGATGAGCAGCTCTGTGCCCAGAAATGTGCCGGGGAGGAGTTCGAGAGCTGTGGCACCACTGAGTACCTCCTGGTCTACCAGACCCAAGTGCAAGGTGAGGGGCACCGGGCTCGTCCTGCCTGCTGCCGGGCAGGGGGACACTCCAGCAGGAATTCCAGCACTGGTTTCCCATCCCCTTCCTGGGGACACCGGCAGAAAGTGGCCGTGAGCTCGCAGCATCTATGTGGCTTTCATTAAAAATTACCATTTATTTTAATTTCCCGGGAAATCAATCCTCCCCTGAACAAACAGCTTTAATTACTGCCTGACTCAGCTGCAGGGGAGAGCAGTTTGCCATCTGCCTCCAGCAGGATCTCTCCTTGTCGGCGCTTGTCCCTCCTTGTCACCACCAAGTACTGGTAAGCCGGAGTTTGCCAGCCAGAGGGGACAGGGTCCAGGGAAAAAAATGGGGAGAAAAAGCTGTGACCAGGGAGAAAGTCCCCAGGAGGCTGCACAGAGAAGGCTCCTGTCCCCCATTATGTCTCAGCGGTGGGACCAGTGGGGACAAGGGAAACACAGGGCGAGGGGAAACCTGTTACAGGGAGAGGAAAGGGCTGAATGGAGCAAATGAGGACTTAAATTCAGGGGGGGTTTGCTTCAGAGTGGCTTGGTCTCAACGCAATCCCTGCTTTGGCATTTGAGATCATGCTCGAAATACTTGTGCATTCATTGATAGAAAAAGCAGGAGCGTTGCTTGGCAAATGCACCCCTGTTACTCACCATCTCCTAATCGTGCAGGCACAAGCAGTAATGGCAGAGCACCTCCTGCCGCCTTCTTAGGATTTTTTGAGGTGTTTAGGACTCTTTGGAGTATTCAGGACTCTTTGGGGTGTCCTTGGGTGGGTACCTTTCCCTATTGCAGCCGCCTCCTCGCACCTTGTCCCAGTGTCTTCCATGGAGGCAGCAGCACCCTGTAAGAAAGAGGGGTATCTCTGTAGGAAAAAGAATTTCCGTGCCACAGCCCTGATGTTCCTTGGCTGGTTCTCGCTGCAGACAACCGCTGCATGGACAGGAGGTTTCTCCCCACCCGTGCCAAGCAGCTGGTGGCCCTGGCCAGCTTCCCTGGCGCCGGCAACACCTGGGCACGCCACCTGATCGAGCTGGCCACCGGCTTCTACACCGGCAGCTACTACTTCGACGGGTCTCTCTACAACAAAGGTAAGAGGGGGGGGTCATTTCTGGGGGTGCATCGATCCCACCTGAGCCTGGAGAAGGTCCTGGTGCCATCCTTTGGGTCTGCGGGAAGGAGAGGGCAGAGCTGGGTACCACTGATGATGCTCCACAGGATGGTGTGTCCTGGTTCAAAGGGTATTGGAGGGACTCAACATCACGTGTGTGCTGCCCACTAACCTTGGCCAGGACCCATTTGGGGCATAACTGGGGTTTCTCCATCACACTGGTGGTTTTAAAGCCACTGTGAGGGTTGGAACTTTCTAGAGGAGGAACCGGAGGAGCTCTGACCCTGCCAAACAAGGCATTGCCTCTGTGTTTTGCCCCAAGAAATGGCCAATGGGGTTTTGTGACCAGATTTCCCCAGGAGCTGGTGTTTGTAGGTTTGGCACTCTCCTCCTGGGCTGCCTAAAGTGAGAAGCAAATGAAAGTCACAGCTGCACGGCGAGAAGGACCGACGCAGCCTTCCAGCTTCAGGATTTAGGAGCGGGTGGCAGGAGTATCCTGGAGGACAAATGTCCCCACGTGTTTCCTGAGTAACCGCAGATAAAAATAGCGACGTGTCAGGGCACCCGGGGAACACCAACACCCAAATGAATGAATATTCGCAGTGCAAAAAAAACACCGATGAGCTCATGAGGGGATGGAGGAGGGAGCTGATCTCATTTGGTTTGGCTGTTCTCCTTGGACTTGGAAGGGTTTGGTGGAGATCCATCTTCCCGGCCTGGGCAATGCAGGTATTTGTGCAGTAAATATTTAATGGGGAAGGGATGCTGTCGCTCCCACCTTTTGTGTCCTCTGGGACAAAGCAGCAGCGCTGTGCCCACCGTATTGGTGCCAGGGCCGATAGCATGTGGGGACCCTGAATTAAGCAGCGAGTTTCGAGCCAAAAAAAAGCTTGAGAGAGGTGTGAAGGTTTTTCAGGCAGAAGCCACCTTCCCCCAGTAACCCACCATATTGCAAGGGGGAGGGAAAAGACCAGTTCCCCCATTTTATAGCCATTTACCACTGTTTTATTCATAGACCTAGAAGGTTTCTCCTACTTTTCCTTCCCCTTCTGAGGCTGTGAGAGGAAATCCTCCTCCCCTCCTTGGCTGTGGTGGAGCTGGGGTCTGTACCTGGGGTACCCATGTAGCTGGTGGGGTCTCTTCCCTAAAGACTCACTTGCTTGACACCACAGGCAGCTATGCACTTCTTTTTTTCTTCAAGATTTGCCAAATCCAGCCTTTCAGAGATGGAGATGCTCTGCCCTGAGTGAGGGGTCCTGGACTATATCGGCCCCCGGTGCTGGCACCCACTTGGGGTGCAGCTGGCGTGGCACATCCCACGGAGGGGAGCATCACCAGGCAAGGTTCTGCTCATCCCACCGAGCGTGGGTTCCGTGTTTATTCCAGGCTGAGCGTGTCGGAGGGCCCGGAGGTATCCAGGCAACTGGCAGATTAGCCATCACGTCCCCGAGTCGCACGGCAGGGCTGCCGAAAGCAAATTACACATCTATAATTGATGTAATACAGCTACTTACAGCTTATCTCCCCCAACTCAGCTCAGCTCCGACGACGACGACACACTGTTCCCGGGTAGTTTGGGTTGTGCTTTGCAGAGGCTGGGGGGGCAAAGGGGCTGGGAGCCATGCCAGGCTCATCCCCGATGCTCCGTGCAGGGGGACACGGGGGATGGCGGTCCCCTCTCTGGATGTGCCCCCATGGCATCACTGCAGCCTCTGGGCTCATCTGCAGCCCATAGGGGATTTCACCCTTCTTAATTTATTGGGAGGGTTTAAAATCTGTGGCCAGGGATACTATAGCTGTAAAAGCAGAGGCTGGGGGGGCAAAGGGGCTGGGAGTGATGCCAGGCTCATCCCCGATGCTCCATGCAGGGGGACACGGGGGATGGCGATCCCCTCTCTGGATGTGCCCCCATGGCATCACAGCAGCCCCTGGACTCATCTGCAGCCCGCAGCCCATAGGGGATTTCACCCTTCTTAATTTATTGGGAGGGTTTAAAATCTGTGGCCAGGGATACTATAGCTGTAAAAATATATTCTTGACACCCCACCAGTATAAGCATAAGGTGCGTTAATGCAGGGTGCAGTTATTTAACGCCGGTGGGCTTTGCCCTGGAGAAAAGTTGCCTGTGCAATATCAGGCTGTGGCAGACCATCTTGCTGAGAAGAGCTGAGCGTGCCCTGGGGGGAAGAGGCAGCCCTGCTCAGTCCCTGTGCCCTCTATCCACCCCCTCATACATGGATTTTTCATCACGGCTTGACTCATAATTCAGGCAAATAAATGATTTCCATTCAAGAGAGAGATGGAAATCCTACTTCAAGCCTCAACTGCTTTTATCCAAGTGTATTTTACCACCTGATATCGCCCCATCATTCCCTTTCCCCAGCTCACTTTTACTATTTTTATTAATATCAGCACCGACTTGCTCTGTCCCGGCAGGGTTCAAGGGTGAGAGGGACCACTGGCGAAGCGGGAGGACGATTTGCATCAAAACCCACGAGAGCGGCCAGAAGGAGATTGAATCCTTCGACTCGGCCATCCTGCTCATCCGAAACCCCTACAAGGCCCTGATGGCAGAGTTCAACCGCAAATACGGGGGACACATCGGCTTCGCGGCTCACGCCCACTGGAAGGGCAAAGGTATGGTGGGCTCGGCTGCTCCTGCCCTGCTCCTGTGGGACCTGGGTGGGTGGGATCCAGTCTGGCCACTGGAACTATAAAGCTGTTGTTGAAGCCCAGGAGAACCCAAGTCTGGTCCCCATGGGGGAAGCCCAGGCTGTGCCACCCCTTTGGGGTCCCCATGTCCATCTTCTGGCATGACCTTCAGCAGCTCCTAGCATGGCCAAGGGCTCCAGTGGGATCATCCATCCAGTAGGATGGAATGGGATGGGGAACTGGAGATGCTCAGCTGTTCAGTGCTATGTTGGGCTGCAGCAGAGAGGTGGCAGTGACCAGGGACACAAGTCCAACAGCAGCTTGGTGCCAGCAAGAAGGCAGTAGCGTGGCCAAGGGCTCCAGTAGGATCATCCATCCAGTAGGATGGAATGGAATGGGACGGGATGGGGAAGTGGAGATGCTCGGTCATTCAGTGCTATGTTGGGCAGCAAGAGAGGTGGCAGTGACCAGGGATACAAGTCCCACTGTAGCTTGGTGCCAACAAGGAGGGAATAGGTGGGCAGGAGCCCGAGGGTCCAAACTTTGCCCGTTCTTTGGAGCAGCTCTTTGAGGCCAAGGGAAGCCAGCCTGGATGCTTGGCTGGGTGATTGGAGAGCAAGGAGAGGTTAAAAAGTATAACAGGATCCATCAGACATCTCCACCCCTCATCTGGTGGGCACGTGTTGGTGTGGGGCTGCAGCATCTCCATGCTGCCACTGGAGCTGGATCCCAGCAGGACCACCCTGCCCAGGGGGGTGTCAGGAAGGGATGGGCTGCCCCGGTCCCCGGCAGAGCCAGCCCTGGCACGGGCAGCGCTGTGGGGTGGAAAACTCACCAAGTCAATAGTACCTTTAGGTTGCCCAGAGAAGTTGTGGCTGCCCCATCCCTGGAGGGGTTCAAGACCAGGTTGGACGGGGCTTTGAGCAACCTGCTCTAGTGGGAGGTGTCCTCCGTGGCAGGAGAGGTGGAACTGGATGATCTTTAAGGTCCCTTCCAACCCAAACCAGCCCATCCCACGGAGGGGAGCATCACCAGGCAAGGTTCTGCTCATCCCACCGAGCGTGGGTTCCGTGTTTATTCCAGGCTGAGCGTGTCGGAGGGCCCGGAGGTATCCAGGCAACTGGCAGATTAGCCATCACGTCCCCGAGTCGCACGGCAGGGCTGCCGAAAGCAAATTACACATCTATAATTGATGTAATACAGCTACTTACAGCTTATCTCCCCCAACTCAGCTCAGCTCCGACGACGACGACACACTGTTCCCGGGTAGTTTGGGTTGTGCTTTGCAGAGGCTGGGGGGGCAAAGGGGCTGGGAGTGATGCCAGGCTCATCCCCGATGCTCCATGCAGGGGGACACGGGGGATGGCGATCCCCTCTCTGGATGTGCCCCCATGGCATCACAGCAGCCCCTGGACTCATCTGCAGCCCCACAATCATAGGGGTTTTCACCCTTCTTAATTTATTGGGAGGGTTTAAAATCTGTGGCCAGGGATACTATAGCTGTAAAAATATATTCTTGACACCCCACCAGTATAAGGATATGGTGCGTTAATGCAGAGTGCAGTTATTTAATGCCAGTGATCTTTGCCTTGGAGAAAAGTTGCCTGTGCAATATCAGGCTGTGGCAGACCATCTTGCTGAGAAGAGCTGAGCGTGCCCTGGGGGGAAGAGGCAGCCCTGCTCAGTCCCTGTGCCCTCTATCCACCCCCTCATACATGGATTTTTCATCATGGCTTGACTCATAATTCAGGCAAATAAATGATTTCCATTCAAGAGAGAGATGGAAATCCTACTTCAAGCCTCAACTGCTTTTATCCAAGTGTATTTTACCACCTGATATCGCCCCATCATTCCCTTTCCCCAGCTCACTTTTACTATTTTTATTAATATCAGCACCGACTTGCTCTGTCCCGGCAGGGTTCAAGGGTGAGAGGGACCACTGGCGAAGCGGGAGGACGATTTGCATCAAAACCCACGAGAGCGGCCAGAAGGAGATTGAATCCTTCGACTCGGCCATCCTGCTCATCCGAAACCCCTACAAGGCCCTGATGGCAGAGTTCAACCGCAAATACGGGGGACACATCGGCTTCGCGGCTCACGCCCACTGGAAGGGCAAAGGTATGGTGGGCTCGGCTGCTCCTGCCCTGCTCCTGTGGGACCTGGGTGGGTGGGATCCAGTCTGGCCACTGAATCTATAAAGCTGTTGTTGAAGCCCAGGAGAACCCAAGTCTGGTCCCCATGGGGAAAGCCCAGGCTGTGCCACCCTTTTGGGGTCCCCATGTCCATCTTCTGGCATGACCTACAGCAGCTCCTAGCATGGCCAAGGGCTCCAGTAGGATCATCCATCCAGTAGGATGGAATGGGATGGGACGGGATGGGGAAGTGGAGATGCTCAGCTGTTCAGTACTATGTTGGGAGCAGCAGAGAGGTGGCAGTGACCAGGGACACAAGTCCAACAGTAGCTTGGTGCCAGCAAGAAGGCAGTAGCGTGGTCAAGTGTTCCAGTAGGATCATCCATCCAGTAGGATGGAATGGGATGGGGAACTGGAGATGCTCAGCTGTTCAGTGCTATGTTGGGCTGCAGCAGAGAGGTGGCAGTGACCAGGGACACAAGTCCAACAGTAGCTTGGTGCCAGCAAGAAGGCAGTAGCGTGGCCAAGGGCTCCAGTAGGATCATCCATCCAGTAGGATGGAATGGGATGGGACGGGATGGGGAAGTGGAGATGCTCGGTCATTCAGTGCTATGTTGGGCAGCAAGAGAGGTGGCAGTGACCAGGGATACAAGTCCCACTGTAGCTTGGTGCCAACAAGGAGGGAATAGGTGGGCAGGAGCCCGAGGGTCCAAACTTTGCCCGTTCTTTGGAGCAGCTCTTTGAGGCCAAGGGAAGCCAGCCTGGATGCTTGGCTGGGTGATTGGAGAGCAAGGAGAGGTTAAAAAGTATAACAGGATCCATCAGACATCTCCACCCCTCATCTGGTGGGCACGTGTTGGTGTGGGGCTGCAGCATCTCCATGCTGCCACTGGAGCTGGATCCCAGCAGGACCACCCTGCCCAGGGGGGTGTCAGGAAGGGATGGGCTGCCCCGGTCCCCGGCAGAGCCAGCCCTGGCACGGGCAGCGCTGTGGGGTGGAAAACTCACCAAGTCAATAGTACCTTTGGAGCAGCTCTTTGAGGCCAAGGGAAGCCAGCCTGGATGCTTGGCTGGGTGATTGGAGAGCAAGGAGAGGTTAAAAAGTATAACAGGATCCATCAGACATCTCCACCCCTCGTCTGGTGGGCACGTGTTGGTGTGGGGCTGCAGCATCTCCATGCTGCCACTGGAGGTGGATCCCAGCAGGACCACCCTGCCCAGGGGGGTGTCAGGAAGGGATGGGCTGCCCTGCTCCCTGGCAGAGCCAGCCCTGGCACGGGCAGTGCTGTGGGGTGGAAACAAACCCCAAAACTCACCAAGGCAACCTTTAGGTTGCCCAGAGAAGTAGTGGATGCCCCATCCCTGGAGGGGTTCAAGACCAGGTTGGACGGGGCTTTGAGCAACCTGCTCTAGTGGGAGGTGTCCTCCGTGGCAGGAGAGGTGGAACTGGATGATCTTTAAGGTCCCTTCCAACCCAAACCAGCCTATGATTCTACCTGCAGGAGGTCCTGCCCGATGATGCCAGGTCACTCACCTACCCCCATCCTCCTCCTGTCCAGCAGCGCTGCTCCAGCTCTGATAGTCCAGTGCAGCTTTGGAGTTTCTAATTAGCAGGAGGAAGGAGATTTCCTCCAAGCCCCAATTATCTGTCCTTCCCCAGGGCAGAGGCACTGGAGAGCGGGCCCAGGCGATGTGTCTGCACAGTCCCCAGCCGGGGGGAAGCCCCCTGTCCCTGTGCCACCCTTGTCCCCTCGCCGGCAGCAGGAGTGGTGGCAGCCACCAGCCCGTCCCCGTGGACAAGGCGGTGACAGGGTGTTATTTCCCCGTGCCCAGCTGCTCCCCAGACACTACCTTTTCCCACGCAGAGGCGTATTGTGGAGGCTTGTTAATTATAGCAATTTACAAATTGCTGTTGTGGGATTGACTTCATTGGAAAGAGTTAAAATATTTAGCTTGATTGAACATCTGCTACCCTTAATTCAGAGTTTATTTAAGGGGAGCTTTTGCTGTTGTGGCTGTTATGTGCCTGGATTTCGTTATCGCCATGTGCTTGCCGCCTCGGAGACGGCCCAACCCCGCTCTCCCCATCACCCCATCCCCTAAAACCAGGGAAGAGGAATGTCCTGCTGCTTCCTTGGTGGCTTTTCTCCACGGGCAGGTCCCTGGGGTGGCATCGCCCCCACTGTGGTGTGGTACCAGCCTCTTGCTAGATTTTATTCCCATCTGCTGCATCCCAAAGCACAACTGCGCGTTGCAGATACAGGTGGGAGGGGGAATGTGGGATGAACCCCTCGCTGCAGCCCCAGCACCACAGGAACCTTCCTGAGCTCTCCTGGTCCCAAATCCCACCCCATGCCTGTCCCATGCCCTGTTCCCCCGAGGAGAGGCGGAACCAGGCAGAGGGGACCCTTCTCTCTACCCCAGCACAGTCTGATTTGGACAAACATCAAAATACATCACCAAATTCTTTCCAGAGGATGTACGGTGTAATTAGCTGATGGGTTAATTGTCAGGTTAATTAACCATTGTAAGAACTTGCCTGGAAAGACGGAGATTTTCCATCGCTTGAGGGTTGCTGAGAGCTGTGGCCGGGCACCAGGAAAGGGTTGGACACCCCTGTTTTGCTGACCCAGTGTGGGGGTTCAGCCCATGGAGGACCCACGGAGGAGCCCGGGGGTCCCTGCAGGACCTTCAGCACCCACCCTGCCCTCCCACCAGTGCGGGAAGCAAACCCTCAACGGGGACAGTTCGTTTGTGCCAGGTTTGCAATTAGGGGGGGTGGTTAAATAAATCACCCAGAGGACAATAAGAAAAGTGATTAAAGGTGAGTAATTAAGAAGGGGCGTGGGCCTCCCGTTCTCAGCCTTCCCTGCAGGAAGCCCCTTGCTCCCTGCAGCCCGGTTCTCCCAACCATTTTCTTCTCCCAGGAACTAATTTTGGGGAAAAGCCGTGCCCTCTCGCAGCCTTGCCCACAGCTGCTGGTACCGGGGAGGGGGGATGGAATTTTCCTTCCCCCCACCCCATTCCCAGCCCCTGCCATTTTCTTCTCCCAGGAACTAATTTTGGGAAAAAGCCGTGCCCTCTTGCAGCCTTGCCCACAGGTGCTGGTACCGGGGGGGGGGGGGGGGCATTTTCCTCTCCCCCCCCCCCTCCCCCTGCATGGAGCCCACAGAGGCTGCGGGCACCATGAAACCCCCGTTTGGTTCCGTGACATTAATTTTACGATATCCCTGGAGCGGTTCCAAAGCAAAGTTTTATGTGATATGATTACACAAGGTGAATTGTCCTGTATCTGTTTAATGAAACAGATACTGTGTTTAATGATTCTTTGGGGAATTAAATACAGTTAAGCTATTAATCAGGCATTGGTTTCTGGGGGGAGGACATGAGGAAGAGGCAGATACCCAGAGCTTTTATGCATCGTGAGACAGCTGTATACAGCACTGCCAGGAGAGTTGTGGCTTATTATTGATGTTCCATTATCCCTTTTATCACCTGATTTTTATAGGAGGATCAATTAGTGAGAAGGATAATTGAAAGATTTCGGCAGGAGGCGCAGGTGGTGGGATGCAGGGGACAGAGGGGACTAAACGGTGTCCTCTGCTCCTTCCAGAGTGGCCTGAGTTCGTGGCCAACTACGCGCCGTGGTGGGCGACCCACACCCTCGACTGGCTGCGCTACGGCAAGAAGGTGCTGGTGGTGCACTTCGAGGACCTGAAGCGGGACCTCTTCGTCCAGCTGCAGCGGATGGTGGGGCTGCTGGGCATCGCCGCCTGCGAGGACCGGCTGCTCTGCGTGGAGGGACAGAAGGACGGCAACTTTAAGCGATCCGGCTTGAGGAAGTTGGAGTACGACCCTTACACCCCCGAGATGAGGAAGATGATCAGCGGCTACATCAAAACGGTGGACACGGCTCTGAAACTCCGAAATCTGTCGGGGGTCCCGGATGACTACTACCCGAGATGATGGTGATGACGGCGGGACACGGCTCTGAAACTCCGAAATCTGTCGGGGGTCCCGGATGACTACTACCCGAGATGATGGTGATGATGGCAGGGGGGACTTGACCCTGCGTGGCAAGGAAAGGCTCGGTCTCCCCGGCCTCTGCCTACTTCCACCCAGTGGGTGGCTTTTCTTTTAATTCTCCATCTTGCTGCTATTAGCTGTTGATCAACTCCCTGCATGAGCAACGAACGGTCCCCAGCCATCGCTGAGCTTGCTTGGCCGGTGCCGGTGTGGACCCGGGCATCACCCCCAAAGGGGATGCGGGTGCCTTCCCCACCGCAGGGTTCCTGCTCCATCCCCCTCCTGTTTTGGCTACCACAGCCCTCCGTGGCAATGCAGTGAGCTATTTGTGCCTGTTCCTTTGGGCTGGTGGGGATGCTGTGTTGCTCATGCCATGCCTGATGCAACCCCCCAGCACCGGCAACGCTGCCGTGGTGCTGCAAGAGCTGAGCTCTCCTGGGGTGGGTATCCCCAAAGTCCCTTTGCCCCTTGGCCAGCCCTAGAAGGTCCTGGGATGGAGCACATCAGCCTTCCCAAGGGAGGAGAGGACTGGGGGGGTTGGCACCACGCGGTGTTGGGGTGATGGACCTGTTGGGGTGATCCACAGGGTGATGCTCCTGTGGATCCCAGTGGGAGCTATGGAAATCAGGAAGGCTGTGCTGGGGAGAGTGATGCCTCTGAATGAGGTGGTTGTGTCCCCCCCTGTGCACCATCTTTTGGCTCCATGGGGACCCTCCCTGGGGTGAGGTTGGTGTCCCCAGCCACAACACCAGGCAATGTTACTGCTCCAGCCCTGGTGACCTGGGGGGCGCCTGTGACCCCCACCTTTGGGGCTGTGGGTGGAAGCCACCCCCATGTGTGTGGATGATGCTCGAGAGGGGGACATAGGCCCTGGACAGAGGAGCTTACGGGACCCACAGGCTCATCCGTGCCTCATTTCCAAAGCTTATGAGCCAGAAGAGCCCCTCCAGAAGCAGTTTTTGGGCTCCACAAGGTCCATCAAACCCACACATAGCGGGGAGAAAATCCCAGGGCTGAGCTTTTAGGTGTCCCCAGTCCCTCAACGGGTCGTCCCCCCCCACCATGCCCACACTCTTGCCCTCTGCCTCCCAACGAGCAAGCGAAACCAAAGGATCTCCCTGCCCGTGGGGAAGGTGCCCCTCGCCAGGCTGGCTTTGTGCAGAGCTGCATGCGGTCCCCAGCCATCCCCCCCCTCCCCATGCCACCCTCCCAGCCCATCCCCATCCTGGCTTTGCCGCAAACAAGTTCCCCCCCCCCCCCAAAACCCCCCAAAAAAAAAAAAAAAAAAAATTCAGATAACTTCACACTAAAGACTGAATTGCAACTTTGAATTTTTTTTTTTTTTAAGGAAGAATACACAAGTGAACCAATCCCTTTCAAACTACCCCTTTCAAAAGTAAACACAGCAAGAAGAATCTGCCTTTTAAACTCAGTAGCTTCCACACTTTGTATCGTGGTAACTCAGGATTGCTAAGCATTTGGAATACAAAAGTCTTGGGACTACAAAACAAAACAAACACGCCAAAACAAACAAACAAAACCCCACCAAAACCACAAACAAAAAACAACCAAGCAAAAAATCCCCCAAATCCCCCCAGCCTCCCCAAAGCCTAATAAAAAAAACCCACACAAAACCCTATACTTTTTTTAAGTA